CATATATGAATGCCATGTCAAAAAACACTATTGTGTTATAAAAGACATATCAACTGTGACAAGAAAGGTCGCAAAATCAGGCAAACCTCACTAAACAACTGTCTCACTTAGCAACTGAAATTGTGGGCTCAACTGTGATCATAAGTTGAGGACTACCTGTGCATACATTCAGAAACAATTGCAATCATATATATATATTTGAGTGAGCATGAATTTTAATTGCTTGCATTTTACCTTAATAGAAATATTTATCTTACCTAAACCAATTGATATGTCTTTTATAACACAATAGTGTTTTTTGACATGGCATTCATATATGAGATAATATGACTACAAATGCTTTTGCGAGTTGACACTAGATTCCTTTATTTAGGGGAAAATGTTTAACATACCTTTTGAAAACGTTAAAAGGTTCTACAAATTCTTTCTGAGCAATGAAGTTAAGCACTATTCTGGTGATAGCTAGCATGCTATGACTCAATGATGGGAGTGGATATTACCTCTTTCTTTCCAGAACTTATTTATCATAAATGTACATAGGCATGCATGCACATACATCTTATGTTTCATTTGGGTGCATTTTTCACTGAACATAGCCTTACTAAAAACAGAGTAAGATTTCTATAAGTATTCAGAACTATCTTTCCAAACCTCTATTGATAGATACAGCAACCTGGGAAAGCCTGATCCAGGACATTTTTATAATGAAGAATGTTACTCACTGGATAAAATAGTATTTCTTCGGGAGACTGAAAGTTAATACCTATTCTCCTTGTTGCTAAAGTCATACAACTGTTTATCTTGAAAGTGAAGACGTTGCAAAGGTCAAACAGATGAATATAAGGACAACTGCATGAGTTTACTGAACGATGATAAGTTCCAGAGTGGCATCACCTTGATTCTAGAACCTGTTTTAATTTATTAGCTCCTGGTCATGAACATCAAATTATAAGACAGGCACTTGAATTATGGTATTGATCTTTCTTTACATAGGAAAACAGTCCTTAATAATCAGTCCAATTAATAAGATCCTCAGTTCAGATAGGTAATATTTAAACTGCATTTTTAATTTTAAAGTATAACTTATTTGCATCACCCTTCAACATTCAGTTACCTGTCCTTCCATTGGCCCTTTCACTGGTTTCGTATTTTCCACTCCTTGTGCAAACAGTTACACTGTAAAGCCTTCCTGGAATCAGGTTAGTGAATACACATTCATTGACATCCTTGGCGACAGTTTCTCTTTGAATGAAATCATTGTTGTGCTTGATGATCACTTCATAATTGTCGTAGTCTCCAGTGGCATGTAGCCAGGATACCTTTAAATAGTCATTTCTTGCAGAATTGCTCACCGTGAGTCCCTGGACATTTGAAGGAACTGAAAAGATAAAACATATTTCAGTGTGCCGTTATATCTGATACAGTAAATGTCAATGCACACTCAAAATAATTTGAGAAAGGAATTGGTATAGGTCGATTTTAAGGAAAGGATCATCATTCTGACCTACCTGTAGTTATATATGGTAAAATTTATCCTGATAGATGTAGTCTTGTGCTGTGCAGATAGCAGCTGATGAGTATCTGGTTCTACGCCAGTAATTATTGACTACTAACATTACAAATGAGTCTTCTTATCTAGGCTGAATGATTTGTTTGGATATGTAAAAACTGAGCAAAATCCTACTTTTATCATCGTCTATATGAATGTCTTATTTCCCAGGGCTGTGGTATGAATGAATAAAATAAGGCGTCAAGCTTCAAAAGTTGTATAATATGTTGTTGCCGAAATCAAAATGGTAGGATTATAGTCCATATATTAATCACTGTATGTATGTATATAACATTGTTGCAACCAGCAATTATTGCATTTTAATTTTCTTTCACTCTTTGTGATTCCCAACTATATTTGTCTGCTTAATATAAACCATTTATGCAGCTGCTGAAACAGTCTTCAAATTATGATCCATGAATCACCAGTGTCCATGGATGTCTACCAGGTGGTTAACTGCAACTCCCTGTTTCGCAGTCATAATGTTCATGCTGGCTGAGTTCCACTTTTTTCCAAATTGACAGCCAGTCAGCTGGCCAGAGACCATTCACAACCTCAACACTGCTAGCCAATTGGCCAGAACAAAATTGCTCACCACCTGAGTCCCACCTACCAGCCCCCCCCACACAGTTCACCACTAGTTAGCTGACCAGAACAAAGCTACTCACTTCTTCTGCCCCTGACTCAAATAGTGAATGCGCAGTCAGTTTTGGAGTACACTTTACATACTACAGGGTTCTGAAATATTTACTCTAATTATTAAGGGTGAGAACCTGTTTCTGTAAACTGTTGATTGGAGCCTAGTCTTTCAGGAGAACATACAATAATATATAGTTACAAACATTTCTTTCACAATATCACAGTGATCTAAATGGGAGTATAAGTGGTTCTATATTTTTGGCCTTTATGCATTTGTTCTGTTAGAAACTAATATTCCCTCTTATAATAGCAAACACTTTTTGTTTTTATAGTGCAACTCATTCTTTTTATATTATTTTATGAGAAAACTATTACATGTATTCTAAAGTGTATACAGTATAACACTGAACATTCAAAAGCAATACTCATTTTCATCCATGCTAGTATCCAATATAATATTCCAAATGAAAATATATATTTATTCTTAACTCCTAATGGTCTTTAACCATTTTTGTTCACAAAATTTTCCTTTAATGCAACTATTTAGCAAGCAGGCAATTCAAACAACATTTTGCCATTCACTTAAGAGCAAATCTTAGTGTTTGTTCCATTCTTGACATTATATAGCCTACAGCTGATGGAGGGACAATACATGGGTGTGTGCGTGCATACCTAGAAGCTTTTGCAATATAACTATAGTAGTTCCATAGTTAGCTGAATACATTGAAACCAGAGGGGGCTGCTCCTGGTTCGGCCTGGTTTGGCCGAACCGGTAGTGGCGATGGGAGGAGGCTGCCCACCTGCCCAGATGCTTCTGTGCATGCGCATGCACGAACGAACTGGTAGTAAACCGGTTAGCAACCCACCACTGACTGAAACGTCTTCCTTCATCTGTTGTTTACCTGTTCTCTCTTGACCGAAAGACTGGTTTTCATATTTCCCACTCTTGGTTGTTATTGTTACATCATAGAGACGACCCGGTGTGAGTGTGTTGAAGGAGCACTCACTGGTGGATTTTGCAATGGCGATGATATGGACAGTCTGACCTCCATGAGAGAGTGCCACCATGTAGCTATCCACATCCCCTGCAGCTGGCAGCCAGGAAACACTCAAATAATCACTCCGCCCTGAATTGTTCACGGTGACTCCGCTTACACTGGAAGGAACTGCACATCAAAGCAACAGAAAGTTCTCAGTTTACCAGGTGTTCAGAGAAAGTTTCCTGATAAGGTCCACATTTATAACAACAGAGAATTTTGTGACACCTAAAAATGACAAAAATGTGTTATTGCAGATTTTTAGATACCAGTCCTGAAGTGGAACTCTAATCCGAGAAAGTTTATGCAAAGCTAGTTGTTAGTTTTTAAATTTCCATGAGATTCTTTGTTCTTTTTATGCAGAAGTAGCCCTTGAATTAAAACTATCCATTTAGTGATTGTTAGAAGTCATAATGGCATTGAAAATAGTGACTTACAACTAGTCCTCACATGTACAACTGTCATAACATCTTCACAATCCCATGAACAAAATTTGGGTGCTGGCAACTGGCATGTATTTATGACTGTTGTAGCGTCCCAGAGTCACATGATCACAATTTCTAACCTTCTCAGCTGGTTTCTAACAAAGTCACTGGGGGGAGCCAGATTCACTTAGTGACCTGATGATTCTTTTAGCAGTGATTTGCCTAACAACAGTGGGAAAAGGGTTATAAAATTGAGTGCAACTCCCTTAACCTCCTTGCTTAGCAACTGATATTTTGGTCAGTAAGCTGAGGACTACTTGTACCACTATTCTTCTGGAGGCGTAGAGCTTCCTTCATCTAGAAGAGGGGGGTCGAACTGGCCCACCCCACCTCCATGAATGAGAAAAATGTCACGAAACGTCGCGTGATGGAGCAAGTTTGACACCTATGATCTAGAAGACCAAGGCAGGGGGATTCTCTCTTCTTCTACTGAGAATCAATTCCCTTTGGGATAATCTGTTGTGGGGAAGGACATTAGAATTGCAGTCTGAAGCAGACACTGAGTGGAAAAATCAATACAAAAAGTGTTTTGAAAGTGGTGGCCTTTCTCCCTACTTGATTCTCCCTCCCCAGCCTCCGTCCACCACACAGTCCCCTCAGCCCCCGAGTAATGTGATGGAGAAAAAAAATGAACTAAAAAAATGCAATGGGATCACTATTACCCCAGGAAGAGAAAGGAGATGCTTATTTCTCCTGCCCCACTATATTTTGTGTGTGGCCACAAGGAAATGAAAAATAAAGCAGAGAAAAATGCAGAGATAACTTATTCTGCTCTAAATATTGTTTCTAATGTACAGTATAATTGAAGGGTTAATTCTACCCATTGTCCCTATATGTGACACTGCTGATGGGGGGGGATTAGTTTAGCTTAAAACAATCCTGGGATGGGGGCTAAAATGGTCCTGTAACCTTGATGCTGATTATGGCATTCACAATACTCTCATCTACAAACTTAATTAAATGTTTTGGACACCGAGAAGGGAAAAGTCCCTTCTTTATACTTACGTTGCTAGTACAATAGTAGTTATTGAATCAGCAATTTTTGCAGATAAAAGGAATTGATAGAGAGCTTAGGCACTAAAAATTAATTAAAAACACACACATTCAAATAAATACAAGGAAACTTATTCATCTATAAAAAAGCAAAATGATCAGCCAAACGTTTGAAGGTGCTGCAATATAATACCTCACTTTCACAAAATGTTGCAGAGGAAACATTGATAAATACATCATTTATAAATTTTGAAGTTGCCTGCCCTCTAGTGGAAAGACTTGCAAACAATTTATCTGAGAATGAAGTTTAATTCTTTTCACATTTGTTTTTCAAGCTTCTTTCAATAATTACCCGAATCATATAATAAAATTATATATCATAAAAATGCCTGACTCTATCAAAATTTAGGCTTTTTAAATACACAAATTCTGTAATTGAAAAGCATTAATGCAAGCATTCTACCTATCACTTAAGAAATTCACCAGACTACCCGTTCAGTTTTTTTTAAAAGTCAAATGTTCATGAATGTTCATTATATGCTCTTCTGAAATCTCCATCTTAAAAATCAAATCACCTTTATTCTTAAGAGGAACGAGTGTGTACATAATGGCACCTTTTCACCTGTTGAAGACTGGACAATCCCTGATACAAATGTGAATAAAGCTCAACGAACAAATCTTTCATTATTTTTATTTGAAAATACTGAAAAATGTCAATCCTAAGAAAACAGTTCCAATTTGTGTGGTTGAGTGAATTTTCAGAAGACCTGAAAAAATAATTTTTTCAGGGGGGAGGTGGTTGGAGGGGGGAAGAGAGATTGCCTTCAAATCAGTGTTGACTTCTGGTGACTGGCACAACAAATCCCTTCACTGTTAAGGCAAGATTTCAGAAGACGTTTGCCACAACCCATTTCTTAGGGTTGAGAAGTGACTAGCTGAAGGTGACCCAGCTGCCTTTGTGTCTAAGGCATAACTAGAACTCAGAGTATATCAGTTTTTACTTCAGTGCCTTAACTGCTACATCAAACTGGCTATTGACCTGTAATTATACTCGCACATTATCTTTCAAGAAAAAAGTAAAGCTTTCTTTTTCTTACCTCACTCTATGCTCCATTTGAAGAATGCTTCAGTCTCCTTAGCCTTGTAAAGCAAACCACAACCTCTCAAATGTTATTCAACCAACTGTCACCAGACATGTTGGCCAGTTCTGTACTAGCCAGCATGATTATTGGGCACCAAGTTAGAGATGACTGTTCTAACACATTCCAGAATCAAGGAATATTTTTCTTTAAGAAGAAGACATTTTCAGTTATCATCATCACTTCCTCCACAACCACCACTGGACATTTTAGTCCCCAGTAACTACTATTATCCCAGATGAGATTTATTCCTAATGATGTAATGGATTCAAATATGGAGCAATATGCCTTTTTTTACAGTTATTTTTTATTTGCAGATCCTGTCACTAGACTTTTCCAGACATTGTTTGACTTGCTAGACTCCTCCCGAAGTCCAACCAAGCAGCTTCTACTCAGACAAGCTAGTCCAAAGCCACCTGATCACAATTTCAAAGTATTGTTGATTTGGTTTTCTCTCTGAAGGACAGACATGATACACTCATCTTAATATATTTACTCATGAGTAAATGTATATATTATCTACCTACCTGTTCTTCCTTCAGCGATCACTTGTCTGGAAGATATTCCTCCACTAACAGTGGTAACAACCACTGAATAGAGTCCTCCAGGTTTTAAGGATTGGAAGTGGTACTTATCGGTATCCCTGGGAACCGTGTCATTTTTTATGACAACATTTTCATGAATGACCAACACTTGGTATGAATCTACATCTCCTTTTGGCCTTATCCAGTTGGTGAATAGACTGTTGGTTGTTCCTTGGTTTGCTACATTTAAGCTCATCACTTGTGCTGGAACTGGAAGATTAACATTATGGTTAATGAATAAAATTATGGTTTATATTTACATAAAAGTTCAAAATCATACCAGTAAATTCCATAAAGAGGTTCTTAAAAGTATGCTTAGTATCAATAAATTAATAAAATACAGGTAGCCCTCAACTTGCCACCACAATTGAACCCAAATTTTTTGTTGGTAAGTGAGACATTTGTTACATGAATTTTGTCCCATTTTATGGCCTTCCTTGTCACAGTTGTTAAGTGAATCATTACAATTTATTAACCACAGGGTTCTTATGTGAATCTAGCTTTCCCGTTGCTTGTCTGAAGGACTCAAAAGTTGATTGCATGACCCCGGGACATTGCCACCATCATAAATAAGAGCTACAATGGTTGACAGTGTGAAAAATGTATCAGAGAGTGGAACATTTCACCTCCTTTTGCCAAGTATAGACAGATCTCTTTGGTTTATTAATACTGATTTATTAAAAAGGGCACTGGTTACAGCATTTATATTCCTTATAGGAATCTACATATACCAATGAAAATGTCATCTTGATGCAAGCCAACTTGTAAAATTTTCCAAAAATCAGATGGATACCATGATCTAATGAATATAGTCTACTTGCAGTTTACTTCAAAAGGCTTTTAATGAAATTTTTCGTTAAGAATTCTTAAATAAAAGTCACAGCATAAGAGGACAGAACTGCTTATGGGCAGAAACTAATTAAAGAAGCAGATGCAAGAATAAGTATATAGTTATTACAATGGAATATGTAAATACTGCCGTTTGCAGTAAACTAAACTTTACAATTTAATAATTAAGGAATGTGAAGACATGGGTGAGGAGTGAGGTGACTGTATTTGCATACAAAACCAGGGATTAAGGGTGTTTTTTTTAAAAAAAGTGATGAAAATTTGCAAAAGGACCTCTTCAAAATGGAGGAATATGTAATGGCATGCAATCAGTGTAAACAAGCAAACCGTGATGTGCACTGGGGCAAAAAATGTCTTAATGTTGCATATATGTGTTTATATCTTATTGGCAAAAAATGACCAAGACAGAGATATTGCAGTTGTGACAGTTCAAGGACAATATCAACATATCAAACAAATGTTATAAAAAAAAACATATCCCATGTGCAAAACCAAGCTGCTAATATTGTAAAGTGTTTATATAGATCCCAGCTATTACAATTCTCGGAATACTAGATATAGAAAATAACTATTGGACAACTAGAAAATGTGTAAAACAAGGCAGGGAAAATAATTGGTTCTAAAGTAATTCTTCTCTAGGGAAATGTAACCATATTGGTATGCCTTTAGAGGCAAAAAAAGTGAGTAAGGTGACATGATAGATTTGATTTACTACCACAAGATGTACTGATAGCTGCTAACTGAATTGCTTTAAAGTGACAAATTCATAAAGCATCGACTTATCAGGGGCTACTTGTTGTGATGGCTAGACATTTATCTCCAGCATCAGAACCACTAGGCTGATAAATGTTATTGAAAGTGCTTTAGCTCCTGCTCTCCCTGTGAGCATCCTGCAAACGTCTGGTTGACTACAATGGGAGCAGAATGCTAGACAGGAATAGTCCTTATTTAGAGATTGCCTCATTTAGCAACTGTTCAGAGTTGCAAATGGTGATGGAAAAAGTTTATGACCAATTTCCACATTTACGAGATCTTTTCAGGTCTATAAAGCATAGACCAGGAAAATTGAAGTCAAAACATAAACACAATCATGGTTTCATTTAACCATCAAGTTGCTGGTCCCAGTTCTGGTCTATGAGCTATACATGGCTTTGGATCAAATCTAGCTCTTCATGATTTGTATATTCTGAGTAGACATAGTTTGTTTTATAGAAGGCATGAAGTTTGAAAAGCAACGACTAAGAAAACCATGCAAGGTAGTTAGTTTTTTTTTAAAAAAAACAGAACCAATAATATGTTGATAGTATGGTACCTGTATGACCCACAATTGAAGTCCAGTTACTCAAATCCCCACTTATGGTAGTCACATTAGCAGTGTACTTTCGGCCAGGAGACAGATTGGTGTAAGTGAACTCTTTGGCTTCCTTAGCCAGAGCCCTGTTAACGATTGTGAGGGACCGGTGTCCCAGTGAAACCACATAGTGATCCCAGTCAGACTGAGGGGTCGCCCACATGATTGTTAGAGATGATTCATTAGCATGCTTCACACGAAGCTGGAGAACTGGCTGTGGAGCTATGGGAGAAAAAGAAATACCCACACAATATTGAGGTTTTTGAAAAGGCGTTAGTGATGCTACTTTGACAAAAATTGTGAAAAAACACATTACAGATATGGTTAGTTGTAGTGCTATGGTTGAAAAAGACTTTATGTGTGTTGTCTACAAACTGAGCTATATTACTCATAAGTAAAAAGCACTTCTTTCCTATGTGAGCCTGGTTTCACAGCTTGTAATGCTAGTTTTTCAACCCAATGTGTTATATATATTTTTTTACATTTCTCTGTTTGTGTCTGTAAACTACTGAGTTGGTGTTAGAAGAGGTATGCTTTAAGTGCTGAGCACAGTTCCATTCCATCTGCCACTGAGCTATATTATTTAGAATTTGACATTTAATGAGAGACTTCAAACTGAGGAAAAAGCTTGTGGGAGTTGTCTTTATTCTGATGAGACTATTGAACAAATTGAGCATTTATTCTTGAAACCACAGTGGCTTTGTTCCTACAAAAAGCTAAACCAATGGGGTAGGATAATTAGGATGTTGTGGAAACACCAATAAAAGTAAATGACCCCATTCAACTAATCCTAGAGAGGGGAAGGTAAATTAGCCCCCAAAAGACTTAGTTATGACTGCCCTAGTCAGCCATTCTGTGGAGATATATAACCAAGTGATCTATTTTTAAAACAAAACAAAAAACAAAAACAAAAAAGAAGAGAAAAGGAAAAATGGCCAGTATCCATGATTTAACAATACATCCCCTAAAGTCTGATCAGTTGCAGTATCCAAGCTATGGAGAGCCAAGCCATTATAACAGGGAGCATCCACAGAGGCAATAAACAATCAGCTACAACTATATAATCAAAGACATGCATTTTTCCATTCATATAGAAAAGAGATAATGCACACAGAGATGGGCTTTGATCTCATGGTGAAATAGCATGTGGGAAAGACCTTGGGATATTGGATAAAGAGATGCTGCCAAGAAAATGGTCAGCAAGAGACAGCATAGCCAGCAACTGGATCATGGTGTCTGAAAAAAACACCCCTCCCCCCATTTTTGCCAATGAAAAACAGACAGAAGAGAGGATTGTACTTTCAAGCTTGCAGGATTCTGTGAGTCTGGCTTTGTGATTTCTGTCTAGTTGAGGCCACGAGGCCAACATTGATCATCCAAGTCTCAAAAAACAATCGTCCCATTTCCCCCTTAAAAATGTGAGAAACTAGGGAGCATGTCTTCTGAACCTCTTGCCTTGTACACTATCCACTTGCAAACTACGCTGGCTCTTATCTGACCATTCTCTTGGCAGTATCTCTTTGCCAAGTCTTTCCCATATTATTACACATGGTTATAGAACCTCTCTTAATGAATGCAAAGATCCGCCTGTGCTAGGGTATCATGGAAACTTCCAGCACTCCTACTGCAAGAAGTACTCCTGTGCGTGTTGATATATTTAGTGTGGCAGTATAATTAGAAACAGTTATAAGGAGATACATCTATATTAGTGACTGGCTCAATAAGATGTATGATGAATTAAGTTTTCATGCGGTTAGATTTAAAGAAATCAATAAAACGTATGATCAAAAATATGTCTATTTCCACTGCAACACTCCATTTTTTTAACACTGCAACACTCCATATTGTAGACCACAATAATCTGCACTTTATAATTACAAAAAGTATAATGTCAAAAAGTCAAAATGTGTGTAAAGTCTGAAGGATTAAAAGTGAGGGTGTAGCAGGAAAAACAATCAACACGAGGTATAAGATAAGGCAGGGTTTCTGACCCTGGTCTTCTTATACACCCTGCTATCTTTTGTTTTCCAGGCTACTCCCTTCCTTTTTGTAAAATTGGAGTTCTTAACTTTCTATCCGCAGAAATTGCTTATTTCAGTGTCAGCTGCCTTCCTTTAATCGACTTAAAGTAATAGGTCATAAGCATAAAAGCATAAAATATTTTATGTACCTCACAGTCCCTTCAAATACAAGTAGTATCTGTATTCCATAATCTCATTTCAAAAAAACTCTCTTTTTAAATTTTCAACATTTCTGCTGGCTATAATATAAAAACACCGAACCCAAACAAATCATTTTCTCACCTGTTCTGCCTTTGCAGTGGGCTTTATTATGTAAGCCTCCACTTTCTACACTAACAACCACCTCATATTGTCTTCCAGGAACAAGTGCTAAATCCTTGATGATGTATTCTCTTTTATCTTTCTCCAGAGTAGTATTCAGCAGTAATGTAGAGCGGTCAAACAGTAAAATATGGTATTTGTCCCAATCTCCCGTGGGGGGAAGCCAATTTACTTTTAGACATCTCGACCAACCCATGCTGTCTACTTTCAATTCTGAAACTTTTTGGGGAGCTGAAACACAGAATGCAAAATGATAACAGATAAAAGGGAACTGGTTTATCATAGAATAAATAATTCTTCCTTAAATTGTTATTCTATTAGAATTCATTAATTCAGTAGCTTTCCTACTGCTACACATCTAATTGCTTTTGAAAATGTTTACAAAGTCCCAACTTGTGACTTAAAATCCTGTGCCTATATAATGCAAGATCTGCAACACATTGGCAGGATAGAATTACCACTTGAGAAGGAATTAGTAACCATTTTTTCAATCTACAATGCAGATTTCTTTCTGCCATATATTCTGGTTCTCCATTTGGGACTGGGAACGTACCTAGGGAAGAGTAGCTGGGCATAGGATTTATAGTGAAAATTTTAAGCATTGTTTAATTTCAGCAATTTTCACCTTTAACTGTGCTCTATTCCACTTATAATATCATTATATTTTTATGGTGAAGGGTGAACAAATTATTACAAAGATAAGACTGTAAGCAGACATACAATAACTTTTAATAACAAATGAGGTTGTTGTATCTCAGGAATACTGCAATCTTTTACACACCTTTAGTTAAAGATTTACTAATTAATGTTTCCTTTTGAAATAAGTAGGACTAGTGTAACTGTAATCTAAATCCAACCCATAGTATTTTCTGCCCAGAGAACAACTGGCAACAAAAAAAATCAAAATACTGGTCGGATTAGAAGGTGCTTAGAAAAATTAGAAACATACTTGTCCTTCCACGAGCTGTCACTTTGGTGAATAATTCACCACTGATTGCATTGACATTCACTTCATACAGACTTCCAGAAATTAGCTTGTCAAAATAAGTCTCTGTGACTTGTGCTTGTAAAATTTTACTTTCCTTAAAAGACCCATGTTGAAATATGGTGACATTGTAGAAATCAAGGATCCCTGAAGGCCTCTTCCATGATACTTTCAGTGTATCCAGACTATCATCATTAGCTATCACCAGATCTAGGACTTTGGCTGGAGCTATTAAAAAAGAGTTTTAAAAAATTAATTACCAAGCATCGTCCACTAAATACTTGCACCAGAGTTGTAGGCATGCATAAAACTCACTTTTCAAAATATTATTCTGTGGTGGTTCAGTGATTTCCTGTGTAACTTCAGTTCCTGCTTGCAAATGGAAGGATTTCCTTCTGGACCCCACTGAACCATCTCACAATAGCATGGGTGGAGATCTAGCATGATCACAGTGAGGATGGACTATTATGGATTTCTTTGAATTGAATCTATTTACAATCAGTAAGCTTTTCACATTCTTACAGTTTTATATTAAAAATATTTTGAGCTGGAAATAATTTTATTATCAATTCTGACAGAGTAATAAAGGGTATATAGTCTATAGGCTCCATTGGCTTGACATCAATATAGTGCTTAGGATTAGATGTAGAGTTATATATTTTGAATAATTACATTGTGAATCATGGTAATAATTCATAAAATATCTCACTTAGTCCAATCACACATCACTTTTGAACATTGTAAACTTTGGACTTTATATTGCATATAAAATTGAATTTTGAATAAAATACAAATGTTAAATATTTAAGTGCTCTCAAAATTATCTGGCATTTTTATGAGTAATTATAAGTTTTTAAACTGGAAATGGTAACATTGATGAAAATGACAAGATACACTTGAATTTCTACTTTTATATTTAAAAATGGCAAGTGCTGACTATATTATATTTATTTGCCCTCATCTGGTCACTGTCTCATGAAACTGAAACTCTGACAAATGCCTGTTGAGAGCTAAGAGCTCTTTAACTGGGATGAATGGGACAATCCTTATCCTTAGCATAACATATTCCAAATTAGAATAAAGTCATCTTATTTTGAAACTGTTCAAGATGTAAACCACTTTTTTCTATTAGTCATAGGCATTTCTTATGATACACCACATTCTATTGCAGTTAATTTTAAGGCATTTATATGAATAAACCTGTGTTTTAGTTTTGAAAAAGGTGCCTTATTTTACCCTTTAATTATGTATATTAATCAGGAAAAGATTTATAAAATCTTACCAGTTCTTACTAGTCTTACATTATAGTTCTCCATCCCCCGAGCCTTGGAAATAATTGTCAAATTATAAAGACATCCCGGTATTAATCCTGAAAAATTGTATGACAAAATATCTTTCTCTAGATTCATCTGTTGAATTAGAATATCTTTCTCCAGCAAAACCAGCCTATATTGATCCACATGACCAGCTCCTGGCAACCACGAAATATGAAATGACTGCATCTCACTCAAGATCTTGATATTTTTGACTGGTGAAGGAACTGAAAAGAAGGAAAGGGAGCAGCTTATATAAAGAATACTGCAAGAATCTGCCTTAAGTTTACCCCTTTAAATCTACATTTTATTTAATAAAGTTAACTAGATTTCAGTGAAACATTTATTTATGTTCCGAAGAGACATCCAAAATTTTTAGATTAAAATGTATGCATCAAGAAATATACTAACTTCATTAATGAAACCTTACTTTTGCTCCAATCAAATTATATTTACTAACTATGATTTTCTAAACTTTTTGGATTTTTTGCATCACTTGATTTCATACTACTTGGGAAAAGAACAGCAGACATCGTCTGAATTATTCGGTCAAATATCAGTTCAGTTTTTTTCTTTTCATTTTGTTATTGCATCTGTCATTGATATGTGTTCAGGCATGTTTGTGACAGTAGAGAAATCCCTGCCATAGACTTTCTCTAATTTAGCATTCCAAAACCAAAACCGTTAGGCTCATCATTTACATTCAGGCCTAATAGAATTTCCAGCCATCTTGTTCAAAATGTAACTATGAATTCTGGTAATTGCAGATAATTCTGATAATTCAATGGATATGACGTTTCATTCCTTCCCCCCCCTCCCGATGCTACAGTGTGGGTCACAGTTTATGTATAATTATGGAAAAAGCATTTGAATGTACAATATATTTATTGCTATAAATAATGTGAGAAAACTCACTTTAGCTACTATTTCTTAAATAACTAAATGCTAAATGGTGGATTTCTATTGATTTTCATTGTCTGCTATGTCCTCAGCAAACCAGAATGGTATGAACATATAAATTATATATTAGTTTCAATTATAATAAGTTAATATGTAATTTAAATTAAATCATATACTTGCACCTTGATGTATGAAGCAAGTACATAAGTCACTTTATTTACAAAATAATGTCGGCATGCATGCCTTGTCATTTGCCATCCCATGGACCCTACAAATGTCTATGGCTATTCACAAACCATTCCAACATTCTTTTATGTCTAAGGAATTCTCATTTGTTCTCTTTTCTTTGTGGGAATAGAAATTATGAGCATAAGTGAAATAATATTGGTGAATATAATATTGTTATCACCAGCATTCTTACCAGTAGACCCACTGATGTCAACTGATGAGCTTTTTTTATTTCCAGCAACTGCTCTGATGGTGATGGTGTATTTATTGCCAGGGATGAGATTGGCAAATATCTGATCACTTCTAGAAATGCCTCCAGGAACTAGAATCTCTTCCACTTTTTTGATGCCATTAAGTAATTGTAGTTCATACCAATCCACTTTCCCTAAGGATGGGCTCCACCAAACCTGTAAAGTGGTGGTTGTAACTTTGTCTTTCTTAATTTCAAATCTTGCAGGGGGCAACACATCTATGAGTTCCCAACAAACAAAAACAAGGCAAACAAGGTGAAAACCAAATTAGCAAAGCCTATAATTAGCAAATTAGCAAAGCAAAGCACATCAACTGTCTGAATACTTTTAATATGTAAGATAAATGTATGGACAGCTGTTATTCAAAATCTAAACTGATGTTAATCACATATCAAATAAAGAAGGTAGACCAGCAGGTATATTTGGGAACTAGAAGAAGGAAGGTGTGACAAAGGCTAAATTGTCAGCCCAACAAAATTTAAAAGCTGAAAAATTCTTATCTATAATACACATTTCTTTTTGTTTGTACATATATAGATCTAAATACAATTAAATTAATACTTTAATTAAAAACTGAGTTAAATGAAGAGAATTTTGTTCCTGTCTTCATTCTTCAATTGATAGGAATTAAGGATGGCACAAACAATACAATAATTATTCAATATCAGGGATAATCTATATAATATACAAGGATGGGGTTATGCTTCAGCTAGGTTGCACAGTAAAAGGAAGAACCACAGTCTGGGAAAAGGAGGAAAAAGACATTGTTTTGGGGGTGATTACAATATCAAAGTGACAAGACAATCTTAGCCTAATTAACATTCTGTGCTGTTACAGAAAACTGCCAGGTGCTGCTTTGGTTAGTAACTAACCCGTATAAAACTTACAGTATTTAAATGCTTTCAGAAATATCTTAGTTGAAAAAGTATGACTTAGAGGCAGCTATAATATGTGTTTTATTTCAAATCCACTTCCTTCCTCCCTAAACAAAGTAAGAACATACAATGGCAAAATGCAGAGGTAGTGTTTCCAATATGAAATCCCACCAGCTATCTCTTACACTGATTTTGTGTAGGAGGTTTTTTAAAATAAAATAAAATAAAATAAATCAGCTCAGGGAACATCACAGTCCAGATTAAAACCCTTCAGGAGAAATCCATGTGCTCCTCACTGGATGAGGCTAGCAAAATTCATCAAACAAGCAAGTTCGTTCTCTAGCCTGCCAATCTGAGCTCATCCTTGTACTGTATTCTCCACATTATGTACTCTTTCTGGATATAACTTTTTATCCTAGATTTATACTTACTAAAACAATGCAATGTGCCATAACTTGGTAGCTAAACCTTGCGGTGGAGCTGCTGCAATGCAAGACAGTAAGCCACAGACTGTCCTTGATAGTTTCTGTTTCTACAGACAGCACAAGAGACCCCAAATTAGGGACACCATCAGTCTTGGGACTTTGGGCTTGTCATTGCTCTCAACTTAATCTACGCACAAGGTTGTTGCTGGGGTGGAAAGTGTTACACATACTCCCTTAGCTAAGTGAAAAGGATACAAATCAAATAAGTACATATATAAGTAATTCTGAGATTAATTGGGCTGACAAATATATATATGGCACTACGTATGTGTCAGATATATATATATACATACATACATACATACATACATACACACACATACATACATACATACATACATACTGTATGCAAACATACGACCCTCCCACATCAGTTGCTATATCATCATTATCATCATTATCATCTTTTTATTGTACTGTATCTTATAAGTTGTCTATAGCCATTAAGGCAATCAAGAGCATACAAACCGTATGCAGGAATGTGTAAGCGTGTATGAGTACATAGGCAGAAAGGAGGATAGATAAATTTGTTCTTCCTCTTCTAGATTTTTTCATTAGTTACTAGATGATCAATAGCCTACAATCAGATTAGTATTCTTTTTTACCTGAACTAGTAACTTTTGAAGCTTCCATCACAATTTTTTTTAATTTTTCCCTTTTAAATGGCATAACAACAATATTTAAAATTTGGACTGAATCTTGGTTTTGATAAGAGAGGTGTCCAACAGAGTTACCTCTCAATCATCTTTTCTCTCCCAAAAGATATAAAGGTTTGTTAAAAAAAAACTTTCTTTTTTTGAAGAGGTCATGTATTTTTCAGTTTTGGTAAAAGTTGGATCAAAAGAAAAAATCTTCTTCCAAACCTATCCTCAGCTTTCAGGAGGAGTGAGAGTTACAGCCTAAATAGCAGACCAACCACTTTAAGGGAGTGAGGAAATAAAATATTTTGAATTTTGGAACTTATAGGTGAAGAAAAATACTATGATAATCTCCTGGCTCTTAATATAAACAGATCTGCAAGTGACAAATTAGAGGTGGGATACAACTCCTAAAGCAAATTAAAAGATTGCATGCGTAGAAGGCGAAGTTCAGAAATTCAGTCTTTATCTAATCTATCTAGCTCAGAACACAAAACACTCAGTCCTTTGGACATCCGCTAGAACAAAGGAACAATGAGTTTGGGAAGTGCCTGGCCTGAAACTCTGGTCTGGAAGCAAACACTTAAAAACCATTTGCATTGTTGCAAACTTCTTGACTGGCAAGTGCCCAAAAGCGATATATCATGGATATCAAATATTTCTGTAAAGATATTTTACAATTTGTTGCACATATTCTAACAAGAATAAGATGTATACAAGAAATGAGCTTGGTTAACTTTTATTTTTCACTTTTGTGCAATATTTTAAAGAAATCCACTATGCCTTCATGACATTACGCTTAGTTCAATTTTTATCTTGCATTTGGTATTGGTTCGTTTAAACTTTAATAATACAGAATTTATTTAGTATAGAATCTTTATCTTTCCATATAATTGACTTGAAAGAAAAATATGTTGACTAAATGTGATTGTATATAGACAGTCAGATAGCTTTGAATCTATTATATAGAGCTTAAATGAAATCTTTATTCTCATACAATTTTTATTTATTTTGTCATGGGCACAATTATAAATACAAGTGTATTAAAATAATTTCTAAAATTGCTACTAGATTGAAAAAGGGAAATTGAATTATTAATTTAGGTATAAATCATGTTGTAAATGTATTGTCAGGAAAGTCAGGAAATGAAAACTGTAACACACACACACACACACTGTTCAGATAGTGAAAGTTTCTATCTGTTCTGTTTTTTTTCTGCTGATGATCTACCTCTCCATCTTTCTCTCTATCCCTAGTTGCCCTTCTCTCTCTCTCTCTCTCTCTCTCTCTCTTAGAAAAGGGACAAAGAATTTCTGATATTAGATAAAGGATAGACGTTCTCTATGGATAGAGGCAGATATATTAACTTTTAGTCAAATTAAAATCAGAACAAACGTACCATTTGTTACTTATATTTGCAGACATATATTCAATATTTATGTTATCAATCTATCTACAGATATACACAATGTTAATGCTTAAATTATGAGCTTAATATGTAGATATATTGGTTTGTATAATATATAGATATACTAGAATATATAAAATTATCTTATAAAAACATTGTACAATTGTTTTGTGCCCATTTTAAAATTAATAGAAATTATCATTGCAGACTTAAAATATATAGATTTAGGATCACTTATCCCTTTTTGCTACTCTACACGGCTACATGAGCTTTATAAGTAATTTGGATTAAGTATCTTAGGCAAGGAGGCAATATCTTTTCAGAGTTATTTTAATATGGCTATTAGAGTGAAATCAGATATACTTATGAACAACCATCATCAACATTCCCTGTGCAAATCCATAACCAGAGAGCCATTCCCCAACCTGATAATCCCCATCCAGGATGACCATCCTTGCTGGAGATGTTGGCAGTTCTAGCTAAACATATCTAGCGGGCAATAACTTGAAGAAAATTGATAAATACTGGGCAAGAGTAATATAATTGGAAAAGTTCTCAAAGTAGACCCTGATGAAAGAAAATATGCTTAAAGTTAAAAGTTAACAGCTATAGCAATTAGCAACTTCTAATTTGTAAATAAGAATAGAGATAAGGACTACACAGTTAACGTGTCATCTAGTTATACAAGATATTTGTGTTTAGAGATTTCAAATCATATTGTTTCATTTCATTTACCTCTTGAAATCAGTGAGCAAACTAAGAATGGATATTGTTTAAGGAACCTTTCACATTAATTTCAAGTTACATAATAATCTCTACAAATTCAGGAGTAGCATCAGGATGAAAATAGAACAGGAGAGGTCCTTCCTCATCTTCTATGTATCCCCCAAATGATCAGCCAAGCTGTACCTGTTTGCAGGGTGACATTGCTAGTTTCTCCATCAGAGAGAGAAACAATCCTGAGCGAGTACAAAGTCCCAGCTTCCAAGCCATTGAAGTTGCATTCATAGGAACCATTGTCCTTCTGGATGGCTTGGCAATCCCTGGATAAAACCTTGCTGGAGCTGCAGATTACGCTGAAATTACAGGAGTTGCCCGAACTGTTCCATCTGAGATAAACCGACTGGCTGGAGACCTTCCATTCTGTCTGGTTGATGGTGCATTTGACTGGAGCAGCTAGACCACTCTAGAGAACAATCAAAAACAGCACAGGCCATTTAGGAATAAATGCTTCCTTTTTTATTTACCCTTACATATGAGAACTGGGCAAATTCTAAGGTTGTTGCATTTTTAACACAATCATTCTGAAATATTTTTGAGGGAAGCTGTACTTTAATTCATCCAGAAAAACCCACAAAAACTAAAATTCAAACCATGGAATAGAACTGTCACTTCTTGGGTGTGTGAGCGTACACATGTGTATGCAGGCAAGTGTGAGTAACTTGTAACACAGAAGCTGTAAAATACAACCCGACCTAAGAGTTGTTGCATCTTCCCAATCGCCCGGATTGAAGAAAAATCTCATATCTCACTTTAGGCTGCACGATGCTGAGGACCAAGGGAAGATGGGCAGGGGGGGGGGGGAGTGGAATAGAAGACTTCCAAGGTCCCTTCGAACTCTTGTTATTCTCTGGGAGCCGTGGTCTTCGCGAAATAATGACTTCAGTCATTACTCAGGCACTAGATTTTGAAAGGTCGTCTTCGCTGCTAAGAGTTTCGCCTGTTAAGTATGCTGATGCGCGGAGGGCAAAGTCATGGGAAGAGTTAGCGAGAACTGATAGGAGAAGGAAGAGCCGGAGTGGGAGGAGGCAAGGGGGATGCGCGCCCTACCTGGCGAGCCCCCGCCCGGTCCCTCGCGAGTACCTGTCACCCACCTTGAGAAGGGCCAGCGCAAGAATCCACCAAGAGCCTCCCGCTCCGCATCTCAGCCTTGCCATCCGTTTGGATCTGCAAGGCTGGGGGCGAGGAACCTCCTTTTGCCCCGCCGGCGGCGACGGCTGGTGGCTTCCCCCGTGCCCGCGGGGTCGAGAGACGCAGCAGCCCACGGCGGCCCTCTAGTGGCCAGCTTGACTCTTGCAGGCTCTCCGGAGGCTCCGGGGAAGTTTCCCGCCGGCCGGCCGAGGACTGAACCCCGCGGCGGATTGCAGGCACGGCGTGGAAGCTGCCATTCTCACCCGGCCCTCGCCAGGCGCCTTGGACCTCCGCCGGGAAGCCTAGCTGCTCTCCCTCCGTCGTCCACAGGCGGAAAGCTCTGCCTCCACTCCCAAACTTTCCCTTCCCACCCTAGCTCTCCGTTGATCCCGGGGCGCTCTCCCTCGCTCTTACCTACCCTTCCTATCACCGCCCCCCCTTTCCTCCTCCTCCTTCGCCGCCGCAAGCAATTCCACCCCTCCCTTTTCCCTTCCTTCCTCCTTCCCTCCCTCGTCTGGGACTTCTTTCCCAAGGCTATTTCTGACCCTGGATGGAAAGGAGGTGGTTTCCTTCAGGCGTTTCTCCTCCCCTTGGAATGTCCTAATGTAAACCTCTTGGTTTCACAGACTGGAGAAGTTACTCGGCTAAGCGGCGAAACCTTTCAAACCGAAAAGAAAAAGAAGTTCAGTTGCCATGTTTTAACTTTCAGACTCTTGGTTTCATACTTAACTCGGTTTTAGCCCGGTTTAACCATTTTGAACACATGGGGGGGGGAGCAATAACTACTTTCACAATTTTGGAGACGCAGCGTTAGGCTAAAGTAAGGTGGAAGTTGATCAGATGCAAAACTTGGCTGTAAATATTTAATGCCCTTCAGAGCTGAAATAATAGCCCCTTTCCCCCAACAAAGCCTTGTAGCTTGTTATTTTTTTTAAAAAAAGAAGACAGGAATTGCAAATTTCCTTTTTGCTATCTTAGTGGAGTAAATCAGTAATCAGCTTAGAACAGTTACTTTTCTTCCTTACAATCAATATAGCCACTCCCATTTTGAATATCATATCAAGCAAAACCTTATGTTTAGCAATAATCTCTGGAAAAAGGGAAAAAAAATTAACCTGGAAAATGACCAATTTATTTTACTTTTTTCTTCCATGGCATCTGCATTTAAAGTGACCCTATTGCTGCTGCTGCTGTGTGTGTGTGTGTGTGTGTGTGTGTGTGTTTAATTATATATAATTAAAAGCAATAAATGGGCTTGTTCTTGGAAAAGAACAAAAGAATATTTTTTTTGTTTGTAAAAATAAAAAGAGAAGGAATCCCTGCAGTTTTTCACATTCTAACTTCTACTTTGAACTACCTCCTATTTCAGCTTATAAATAGGGAACTTCCAAGTGCTAGAATGGGGTGTCCAATTTTGGGGAATTCTGTAAGTCCACAACTCTTAAAAATGACAAGGTTGGATGGGTCCCTGTGCTAGAACAAGCTTCAGCAGCTCATAAAATCATTCAGAACAAAGTCTGTAGAGAACCCTTCTAATTATACAGCATTTATATAAATCCCTAAAAAGTGTATTCAAATGTTGTGAAATCACTCCTGATATATAATGTTTCCTTCAAATTTACAATTCCTCAATTTCATTTTTACAAAAATTTAAAAAAACCTAAACACATTTAAAATTAATTTACAGTAGCAAAATCTATTTTCCTGTGAGTTATCAGCAAGTCAAATCTCATCAAGGTTGCTTCAATAATTTTCCTCCTATTGTACCTAATTGCTTATTTTTAAGATTCAGTCTCCAAATTTGAGTCATCCTTTTGAGGTTCTTTGCTTGAATTTTGATCACCCAAATATCCTTTGTCCATTAGTGTTCTTTAATCGGGTATCAGGCTAACTTGGATAAAACTTATCTACAGAGAAGGTCTACAGGCTAGTATAAAGAGAAGAGCACTCACCATTTTCATATCATTCCCATAATTTTTATTTTACTATTTATTTTGAAACCTCTAAGGTAGCATTGGGGAGATTAGTCAGTTCAAAGAGTTTGTAAGATGGATGATTGAGAGAATATAACTTAAGTAGGAATTAGTGTTAACAAGGCAGGAGTCTTAGCCAATGAACTAAGATCTTCTGGGCTTTTGGAGAAAGTTACCCAGATTTTGGGTAACCAAGATATCAGACAACTGGAGAAAACTGGCAGCTGGGATGACAATGTGGTTGGGATGATACAGTAAGTTGTAGTGATTGTTAGACTCTGATTATAATGGCAGCAAAACTAGTGGAAGTTTAGCCACTACCATTGGCTTCTATCATCTCTTTCACCTGGATCAGCCATGAAGACACTAATAAGGTCTCAGCCCACCTATTGGCAGTAGGTTGAATGTTGGGTCATTTAAGTATCTGGGAAATGGTCCCTAAGACAATGATGCAACACAGGACATGTTATTATAAGGTTGCACTGGTCATGGTAGTGAATAACTTCTGGATGGGGAAGTTATTGGGAGATGGCTAAGACTTCAAGGTACTACTTTCAGTAGAGTTCAGTAGCATATCAACCTTCTGGAATAATCTCCCAAGTGCCTGTAGGAGTTAGATGCTCATTCATTTACTGTTTAGAAACTTAAATCTGCCTCAATCATACAGAATTCCAAAATATAGTTTGATTCAAGGGTGCATGCCAGTTTGATTTAAAGGTGCGTCCTGGACTGATCATCTGTAAGCCCAGTGTTGATAGCTAAGACAGACTCTCACTTGCCTTGGCAAGACCATTACAAAAGTACATTATTCTAAGTATAATTAGGGTTGAGGTTGTCTTCATTAAAGAAGAAGTTGGAGCTGCAAGACTAAACGTAAACTCACCTTTACCACCCCAAGAAATCAGTGAGTCAGAGTGTTTAATGAAGTAATTAAATTCACTAGCCAACCATTCAATCTATGCTCACCCCTCCCCGCATTTTCAACATATGGAAATTGTAAAATACTGTATTGTATGGAAATCCTCCAGAAACCTCAGAAAACCCTTGACTCTGTGAAGTCCTTCACAAGGCTATGAAGTATTTTTCAGCCACTTGATTTGGTGTGCAGAATTGAAAGGGAGTTGTATTTTTGATTCCCAAATCTATTTCAATGGAATATTGAAATAGCCTAAACTTGCAGGTCTGTAGTGAATAATGTGATATTTGCTGTAAATGTAGCTGCTATTCATCATTTATTTGTGTGACTGATTTCCTTCTGCTGCCACAATTGCCTGTGTATTTTTTCCATCTGGTTCCTATTCTTTATCTAGTTGTTTATCCATAATAAATATCATTCATTAAGGGTGGTTTTAAATAACTGAAATATGTAATGTTTACTAGATCATGGATGTCCCATACCAGGGCCTGGAGTCTGCAAAGGTGTAGATTAGGTGAAATGGGTTTCAACTCAACTCGATCAAGTGAATGGATTTGGACATTTGGGCCTTCTGGTGACAAGGTTTCTCCACCATTGGTCTTTGCTGAGGTGATACTGCCCTGGATGAATCCTTCTTGAACTCAAGACTACTGCTGGAAGAGCAGGTGGCAGTCATAGCCAAGAGACCTCTGCATACTTAGATTGCACCTGTTGCTGGATTTCCCCTTGTATCTGGATTACTACAATGCACTGTGCATGGGGCTTCCTTGAATGGCTGTTGGAAGTTTCAATTAGTGAATAATGTGACTATGCAGGTAGTAAATGGCACTACGTATGTGTCAGATATGTGATACATATCACTGCTATGTGGGCTGCATTGGTTGCCATTGAGCTTCTGGGTGCAATTGAAAGTGCTGATTGTCATCTTTAAAGTTCTTAATATCTTGGAACTGGGGTATCTAATGCTCTTCTTTTCCCAATCATTTCTATCAATCCAATACAGTCCAGCACTTTGGACATGTTACAGGTCCCATTAGCCAAGGGATGTCAGCTGGTGGGGATTAGGAGATGTGTCTTTAATGTCATAGTCCCCACCGACTAGAAAAATCTCCTTTCAGAGATTAGAGTGACCCTGACCCTGTTGGCCTTTTATGAGGCTGTTGTCAACTCCTAAATTTGGCATCGTGAGAGAAGGGGGAGAAGTGAATTCCATGCATACTTTTGGCTCAGATTACTGCAGCAGGCTTGGGAGAGGTGCACCTCATTGGGGAATGTGATTTATGACATAGACTGAGGGGAGGGAAGGAACAGGGGTAAAGTTCAAATATAATTCAAACAAAGCTTAGATCTGACTGAGAAAAGATCTTGCCAAAAATAAATGCTCCTAATAAATGACTAATTTTTCTTTGAAGTTTGGTCCGAGGCTCATGAATCAATTAGGGCATTTTTTTGAAATCTGACAGCTGTAGTGTAAAGGGTTGATTATGTTCCTGGATCTGGAGCCCTGAGTGTGTTAGAGATCCTGTTTCTTGGCTATATTACCCTCTGGCAGGTTGAGAACAGCATAGATGCACGGTGAGCAAATATATTTATTTTGCCCTTTTTAATTGTTTATGTTTTATGATATATGCCACCTAGAATCTCTCGTTGAGCTGGGCAGTTAAAAAAATTAATCAATTAATCATTCCTTCCAGGAATCATTCCAGGAGGACACACTGGCCTCATTCTTTCGAGATGGATCCCATAGTTGCAAGATATTATATAGCTCTGGAAGCTGGATTCATCAATTTTTTGGATAAATCCAGAGGAAACATTGTGAGGACAGTATTATGTTCCTCCAGAGCTGCAGGATGGGTAAGTCCATCTTGGTGAAACTTTATCCTATCTCATCATTCGTGGGATTTCTCCACTCCTTCCTGAAGTAGTCTGTTGTCTTGATTCCCCTGCCCTCCTAAATACTTCAAGAGTATCAGAACAGCTTTGTTGTTCTGCCAAAACAATCACTTTTTTCCTACTGAAAGAAAATGAAGTGAGGAAATGAGAATAGAAGGGTGGAACCCTGGCTGGGGTACCATTTTTTCACTCTTCTATTGGCCAGCTGGATGAACCTTCTTCCCATTTCCTTTTCTACCAAAGTCAGGAGAACATTCCCACAAGTGGCAGGAAGTGCAAAGGTTAGTGAGATGAAATCATTGGCCGAGAGTAAGTGTCCATAGTGACACTCATTAGTAACAACACAGTCTGAAACACACTTATTCATGAATATTCAGAAATTCTACACAATTCTGTTCAATTTGCTTCTGATCAATGAGATGTGTATTAGATTGAGAATGAGAATGAGATTGTATTATCGTGTTTCTTCAAGAAGTTTAACTGCAAAACATTATAAAAGTTAGAATTACAGTAGATTTATGATGCTGAGATAGTTATTTAATGGTTTGCAACTTCCAGGCTGCTCTTTAATCCCATTTTTAAAAATACAATTTTCACTCCATTGATAATCGAGTTTAAAGATAAAATATAATTAAAAAACAATATGGCCATGGTTACATTTTTAGCAATCTTTTTTAATTCTAAAAATGCCATTATTCTTTGTCAATGGAAAGGCAATTCTGTAGCTAAAGATGAAGATCTATCTTAACCACCTCTTAACTGATGTGAAAATGTCAAACGCCTATCATTAATGCTTTTATGGCAAGAGGGGAATTAGAGATGGAATTAGAAAGATTTGAAGCATGCAGAAGATACATAGCCTTTCCACTCTACAAACAACCACCAGGCCCCATTCTGCTCTTTCTAAAAGAGTTGTTGAGAGTTGGGTAGTATACTGGTTTAATCACCAGTATCACCACCATCTACATTTTACTGGATTTTCAAATATAATTACCAATTTCTATCTCTCTCTTTAACAAGGAGAAAATGGGCATAGTTAGTTTTTCCTCATAATTTGAAACATCAAACAGTAAATTTGCAACCCAAAGCTGCTCTAAAGCAAATATTTTTAAAAATGCAAAGTATCTTTATATGTGGGTTGGCTTGAATCAGGTATAACGATAGTATCAAAGTTTTCATTATGTGAAATGAAATGCTGTTCTTTGTTTGCATTTAATACAATCCAATACAGTTCATAAATACGGAAAGCAAATTACTTCCTAAGAGTTGGATAGTGCAGATAGGGGTGGGAGAGAAGTTGATGAAGAGAGGAAGAAAATATTATCTATCAGAAACCATAAAGTGAAAGAGCAGCATAGTTTTTATTTGTGGAAGGAGGAAAAGAAAAAAATGTAATTTAATACATTTGAATATGCTGCACATCAGAACGTCAACACCCATGTCAGCTACTTCTCTCCAAAATCCATACATAAGTCTTGTCCTCCATTAACATCTGAGACTTCTATCTGTACCTTTACTACAACCTTTTCCCCAAACAGTGCTAATAGGCTAATGCTGGATTTCTAACACACCAGAGTTTGAGCAGTGGTAGACCAAGAATGAATTCTATCCCAAGCTTACCCAATTTTCTGAGTAGTCATTTCTGGATTGCCAAATGGAGTACCTGTCATTGTTGTCTTACAACTCAAAGTAGTTCTAGTTTGATATTGATATCACACATGAGAAACCTGTGACCAAATCATGGCTGGGTAAATGAAATGAGCAATAGAATTCAATTTACCTCAATACTTCTCTATGATCATTATTACCTTTCTAGGGCTATCAGTGATGGCTGTAAGCAAAATAAGAATTCAGACTAACAGCCCACAATATTTGTGCATTTATTTATTTTATTTATGCATTAAAACAACTGCCAAATGATTCTAAAAGAACAGTACAAGACAAATTACAGAGGACGAAGCCACACTATTTTTCCTTATGTTTCCTAAAAAAAAGTCAAGGGTGTCCCAGTTTCTGCAGAGGGAGAGAGGCTACATAGGGGCAATTTAATTTAAGACAGCTACTCATCCATTTCAGATTGCAAAGAGGGTCTCAGCTGAACCATTCACTAAACCCTCATGGAGACCCCAAATTCCCTCTGATTCATAGCCAGGATCAGCAGTTATTGGCTGATGTAGTAGACTCTGTCTTGTTTTCCATCAAGCTGCAAAGCAATTAGAAAGTGATCTGACCAGAGCAACCAAATCATATCTCAACTGCATTGAGACAAAAACAACAGATCTAATGTGTGGATCTAGATGCATCAAGTTTTCAATGATCTGAGACAGTTCCATGACCATGAACTCCTGAGATGTCCTAGATTCAATGTTTCTGGATTGCAGATTGAAGTCCTCAAGAACTATAAACCTTGGGTCTAAATCACCAGCCTAGCAATTAAATCCAGCAGATCAGGGAGGGATGATGTTGAGCAGCAGGGAGGTATGATTGCATCTGTTCCCTAGAGCCCAACTTCTATCAGTCTTACATCCAGTTATCTATGGAAACTCCTAACAACTTGTGGATGATAACATGGTATTGCAATCAAGTAACATGTACATCAGTTATCAGACTCAATGAGCTATTAAGTCACAATCAGAACAATATTCTGGATTATGACTTTTTTTCTTTTTTATTTCAAGATATAGTCAAGGAAAGGAAAGCTTTTCCAGTGAATAAATTATCTTACCTCTTTTGTAGTGCTAGAGAAATGATAGGTAGTTGTAGGAGTCCAGTTTTTTTCTGTCACTTCAAATAAATTCTGGTTAAGACTGAATTTTCCCATAGCCTTATAATTGCTTTCTGTAACATTTCTGATGGAAATCATCGTGTTGCTACTGCCAAGAAAATTCTGTGGATTATGTGTTATAGGATTAAAGGGAAGGGATGTATTTTTAGTGCTCTGAGCCAATGGTTCAGCATCTTGGAAATCTAGGAAGAATAAACGTATATAAAATCAGGACTCAACATGCGTAGAAATAGCTTGACATATTAATCACATCTTAACTGTTAACATGAATAGTGTAAAATGGGTTGCAATTTTATTTTACAATAATAGCTGATTACATAGTCTTTTAACTGAGGAAAATGCTGTTTGAAAGTATAATTATATTTACAGCTGAGTTGATAAGATGATATCCACATTACTCTTCGACGTTAGATTTCTAAAGGAATCCACAGTAGCCATTTCTCTAGGTACATTCATGATTGTTACTAAAATATGCAATGTGTTTAACAACTCAGTCATATATTGACAATCCAAAGCAAAATTTCCACAGTCTGTGTATAGAAGAACCTGACTTAATCATTTCATATAATAAGCTAGTCAGCAAGGTCTGAGATCGACCCTGAATCACACAGCACTGTAGAATTCAGGAACTGTACTTGTCCAGTTCCAATTTAATGGCAACTTTCAGAAGTGGCTCTAAGCATGGGCAAATTCAAATCTTCCCTTGGGAAGACATTGAACAAGACTTCAAATTGAGCTTAGTAATATGAGGTTTAAAAATGAACTTTCAGTATTTAAACTATATTTCCCCATTCCCAGATTGTCTGTTTTGTATAAAAATAATTGGGACAGTAGTGTACTTTGGTGTGAAATTACCAAAGTATATTTAATTCACATTAATTCAGCAACACACATTTCTTAAATAATACATTCTTACTGCATTTAACATACTGAGGTTTTGTCCTGATTTATTCAATGCTTATGTCCATATAACCAAGTGGGCCAAAGAACATCTTATACACAGCCATTTTTGCTTCTTTCAAGAAACCCTCAATCCTCAACACAGATTTAATACTACATACTTCTTTTGACCAGCATTTGCATATATTAACATTTTTCCATCAATTTCTTATTTTTAGTAAAAATTCTATTACACACATTCAGAACTATAAACTTTTTACTATTAATTTTTCACTCATCTTTAGTAATTTGCTTTATTCCTTGTGAGCTACCATAACCTTTGATATTTGAGACATTACTTTTTTATGCATACTTTGATGGATCTTGCAATGTATCCAAAATTGGCAACAAATCCTTTGGGTTTTCTGCCAACAACAAAGTAACATCTGCATAAAAAAGGACCCCAGCTACGCATGTATATTTGTATCCCCAACTACTCCCTTGCCTTAACAAACTACCCTAACCGTATGCATTTCTATTACATTTATCCATAATTATGTTATCCAACAGTGCATCATTTGCTTAATTCCTTTCCTAACAATTAATTAAGGATTCCATTTATTCTCTTACATGTTTTACTTCTGTCACATATTGATTTTATATTCAGCAACTATTCTTTATCTCCATATCTATAAAATGTTCTATGAGTCAAGTGTCTCACTGTTACTTATTTATCAATGATCAGCTAAAGATCAAAAGTCTGGTCTGTTTGCCATAAAGTTGCTTTGCACTTCCCAGGTCTTGCTCATTGTCAACTCTTGTACTTTTTTTTTGTTCAGAATTCTACTAAATCCTTCCAAGGCACACCTAACAAATGAATCTTTTTTGTTCAGTTTTAGCATTCAGTCTTCCAAATTCCTTTTGGAAGGGGGATAATAGTAGCATTCTTCTAATTTGTAGGCACATATGCAGTCCTCACACCATTTAAAAGAGGTATACAACCATAGGTAAATCATATCCTTGTTTTAATATATTGTTAGTTGCACCATCTACACTGTTAGAGCAACAATGTCTTCCACATAGATAGATAGATAGATAGATAGATAGATAGATAGATAGATAGATAGATAGATAGATAGATAGATACATACATACATACATACATACATACATACATACATACATATGGAAGACATTATTGCTTTAACAACAATGTCTTTGTTGAATGGTAACATTTATAGCATTGTCTCAATTCTTGTCCGATATGATTAACATCTTTCCCATGAGCAATTCTAAAATACTCCTCCCCACATTCTCTAACTTGAGTTTCACCTCAGCATTTCATTTCTTTTATTTTAAATTCCATTGACTGTATTCTGCTGGAGGTTTATTGCATTTCCATCAAAATTGTCTACAACTCTTCTGTGTTTTTTATTTTAATTATATTTATGTTTTTAATTTACATTCTTTACAAATATCTTTTCCTTCATTATACATGCTATAAAATATCTTTCTGTTATCCTTATGTTTTGCAGCAATCTCTCTCTTTCTTTTTTCTTTTTTCTTTTACCCTTTAGGTCTTTTGCATCAGCCAAGTATTATTTTTCATATGTTCAAATGTTTCAAATCAAATCAAATTTCAAATGTGTTTCAAATGTTACCTTAACTCTATGCCCTTCTATAGCATTCTGTAACGTGCAGTTTTTACATATATTTTTTTCTACTGAGAAATTAAGCTAGCCTTTTCATGTAGGACTTTATATTTTCTCTCTGTCCATCAATTCTACTTTCATCCCTGTTTCTTTCATTTCTTCCCTTGTCTTCCTTGTTTATCTTTTCCCATGATCCTCCCTGGACATGATCAGAAGTGGTATGTCCCACATGGACTCGTTCTCTGACTTCTCTATCAGGATTCCCATCCAGACTGTTTCCATACTGATTCATTTTTGGGTTTCCAAATGGCTCCGTCACTTGTTCTGTACTCTCTTGTTCTCTCACAGTTACAGAATAATTCTTCTTTCCCCACCTCCACTTCCAATTGCATGGATACAGAATATCCCATAGTTTTCTGCAAAACCTATTTCTGATTATTTCATTATTGCGATCCATTACAATATGTAACTATCACAAATATGTGAATTCTTACTTTTATATGCAGACACAAGTTAGACTGCACTAATTCACTATTTTTGAAACTTTTCAGTCCTTATTTTTTAAATTTAAATGTACACCTTCACTTTCTTATATACTATTTAATTCTTCTGTAGAAGATCAGGCTATCTTCATACCTATTTCACCGTTCCTCTTTCTCTTGGTTTCATAGATCCATTTCTCTTTTATTTACTTAAAAATAAATATTTAATAAAATAAAGTAAATCAATTCTATTTATGATTTCATGCTTTTTAACATTTATTCCTTTTACATTTCAAGATGCAATCTTTCATATGCCATGGTGATCACTAGAGTCTATATAGATACTAATCTCTGCTGCAAATCATGACTTTGCTTAATACTAGGATTGATAAAATAGAGATTACCTTACAAAGGAATATGAAACTCAAATACATGTTGTATATTGACAAACAATCAAGATGCCCAAAATAGCTAGTGATTTTATTCTGTCTTACTCAAAAACAGGA